AGAATTATTTCTCAGAAGCCTTCTCAGCAGTTAAGTGCAATACATTCATGGTCTCATCACACTAGCAGAAACTGGCACTCCTTCAGAAAAGGAACAGTTCTCCTGCCCCCCACATTTGCCCATTTTCACCCCAGTTCTCCCTTCCCTTGCCCTAGGAGAAGCATTCCATGGGTTGGAAGGAAGTGGAAGATGCTTCCCTGGTCATCCCCTGCCTTCTGTCCATTACTTCTTGGGCTGGGCTGACGCCCTGACCTGGCTTGGCAGTCAGACACAAGGATGCTTTTGCTTTTCCAAAGAGGTCATTCAAGTGAATGACTGTGGAAGGACAGGACTGGGAGGTTGTTTCAGTCCATAGTGAACACTGAATTGCAGCCTAACAAACCAAACTGCTGTTTCTTGGACTTTTAAGCCTCAAAGCACATGGATTGGTGCAAAAGAGGAAGCAGGTTTACAAAAGTGTTGTCTCTGTCAATGAACGTTTCAAAGGCAGGAAGGAGGTATGAGAGTGGCTCCTTTCCTTAGGCCAAAGTCTAGTTTTAACATATTCAGAGCTACTTGGATGTCAGTTCCAACTGGTCCATTTAGGGAATTGAAACAAAAAACCAGATCTAATGAATTAGCAAAGCACTGCTGTCATTTGAAAGCAAAGTTGGGTACTAAAGAGAGGTGCCAGCCTGAAGGACCAGAATAACCAAAGGGGGCGTGGAACAGCTCTCACCCACCAGGAATTTGCAGGAAATTTTAGGTCATGTCCCACACTTGGATGTTAGATGAAGATAATCTGCTTGTCAGCATTAAGGAAGTCTTGCATATAATCAATAATTTAGGGTTTGAATAATAAATCTCAGGTTGGGTCATAAGTTTTGTTTGATTGGCATTTATCTCCTCTTGAGGGAGAAGTCACTTTAAATATATTTGTTTATAAATTTTGATGAACATTGGGTCTGGAGTCTCTTGTAGATTAAGAAAGTGTTTTTATCTCATCTGGAGGGGTTTTGGTGCAAAATGATTGAATTGGGACATAGATGCATGTACAGCTCTGCTAAGCAGTACAGGACTTGATGGTGTTTGTGACCGAATAACTTTACATTATACATTTGACTTTACTGATTTACATTATACATTTGAGGGTTTTTAAAGAAAATTTCAGGGATTCACATCGTAAGTGACTCTTATTTGGGTTTGGTCCTGTCTCCCCAGAGTGGCCTCTTGTACATTGTACTTTTGGCATTAGCAGAGTTTGCTGCCTTTGTTTCAACCAGTACTTTGATATTTAAGAAAAAAATACTGAATGTTGGATTTGGAAATAAGATTTATTTTATTTTCTCTAATAACTTGATCTGGCTGTGGCACTTGTGTGCAGTAGAGTATGTACTGCTCAGAGTTCAGCAAAGATTGGTGTTTCCTCTGATAGCTGAAAATCTCTTCTGGTGTGTCTGAATCTGTCACATCTCTTGTGCAGGCTGTTGCTCCATAGCCAGCCAGGTAAAGAGGTGAACATTAAGGAAGACTTCAGCTTTAATTTACAGCTTAAAATTATGTCCTGGAGCACTGAAAACTAAAATTTAGGAAAAAGAAGTAAATCTCTTAACAGAGCTCTTAACTTGCAAATTTGCTTTTATAAAATTGACAAAATACTGTTTAGGTCAAGACTTCAAAATCATGGACAGGATTAAAGTAAGATTTTGCCTGTGTTCCAAGATTGAGTTGTAGTGGATAAGAGCAATTTGTATTTTACAATTGATGCACATTGTAAATTAACTCCTGATTGTTATCCTTTGAAGATTAGATTCAAGTGCTCTCTTTTAGTCTTTAGGCACTTCAGCTGGAACTGGTCTTAATTTACTGTTTATCCTGTTCCTCTCCCTTTTTCTCCATGTTTTTTCTATGTCCTTCTCTTTTCCATTTCTTACCAGTTCTTTCCATTATTCCATAGAAGTATTTACAGCATGCAGTTAGATAATTAGCAAACTTGTATGCAGTTAGTAACTCTTACGTGATCCTTCACTTACTTTTCACTTAAGAACTTTTAGGTTTTGTATTTCAGCAAAAGATCTCTGTCAGAACTGCTCCATGCTTTTGGGGGGTTTGGTTTTTTGTTTTGATTTGGGGTTTTTTTTATCTGAAGAAATGTTCTTATCTATTGCAGCTGGTAAGTTAGTTTGCTCTGCATCACCTTTTTTGTCACAATTAGTGTTTAAACAAAAATATAAGATCAAAACCTTGCTCCCAAAGCCAAAAACTTGATAAGTGAGATACTGGATTGATGCAGTTCATTAATCTGTCTTTAGCAGAAACAAGACCTTGCTGGTCAGCTCCTCAGGAGGGCCAGTGAGTGCCTCCTTGCAATGTTCAGGCAAGATGGACTTGCCCTCAGCCAGGCTCATATCACATTGGATTTGTCCTGACCGTTTTCATATTGTGAGAAACAGCATTTTGGTTTTGTTGTGGTCTGTTTCGATTATGCCATTTTGATTTGTGCTTTGAAGTGTTTTCCAGCTATTAAAATGTTAACTGGTGCTCATGCTGCTTCCTCTGAGTGTATAATAATATTTAATGCTTAACTGTGTTCATTTTGAAACACTTGCCAGGGTGGAGAAATCTTATATTGAGCCTTGTGATGTTAATCCTCCTAATCAAGAGAGAAATTTTAAAAATTTAAGACAACAGGTTCATGGTGTAAGAATGGGACTTGGAACTCAAATCAGACACTTCTCACTTGCTTCTGAAATGTGGTACCATAACTGCAGGATTCACTGAGGCATCTATGTGCATCTTGATAAAGTTTAAGGCTATAAATATTGTTTTTATAAAAATGAAATATACATATACATTTACCAGAATCTCTTCATACGTATTCATTTTTCCATTAAATGATTTCATTAAATAGCCCCTTTAACTCCAGACTTTAAATGATTATATTACAGTTTTGGAACAAAATTTGAATTGTATTTTGATAAAGGGCATTTTAAATACCAGGCAGAGATTGGCATTTAGCACAGCAGATGGGGGTTTGTAGTGGTGCCCAGTGTTTAGTCTTAATCAGTTTAGTTCTTGCTTTCTTGCTGTAAATCCTAGCCAAATACTTTTTTCTTTCCATACAAAAAATAAAATTCTGGCTTGCTGGCTCTTGTGGGAGATGTGATTGAGAATAACAAATACAGTGCATGTGGGAGGTGGGAGAAGTAACTCGTGGTAACTCTCAGGAATGCTCCATCTGTGACCCCTTTCCCTCTGCTGTCATTGCAACCCTGCAACTGAGGTCCTCACCCTTCTAATTTTTTTTCAGGAACTTTCTTCTAATTCACTTGCTCTTAAACTGTGTTTTAGGGCACAGTACTCATTATAGTACTCATGACCTTTGTTAACATTTTTTATAAGCCTGCTAACTTTTCATATAAAAGTTAATCAATAAAGCAAGCAAAAGAATTGTGATTTGTATGAATATACTGATAGAGAGCAATCTCCTGCTGTTTGGGGGTGGGTTTGACTTTGTGTGTGGTGGAGTTTTTTCATTTGTTTGGGTTTTGTTGGTTTGTTTGCTTGTTTGTTTTTAATAGCTCCGTGTGTGCTAGGAACCTCTGGATCTTGGGTTCTCCTTGTGGTAGAACTCTGTTCCAGCTCACTTTCCTGCTTATCATCATGCTGCCTGGGTTCTGAGTACAGCTCTCCTCAGGCTACCTGTGATACACAGGAGGACAGCTTAGATCTTGTGTGTGCTCATGTATCATTGCTTCTGACCATGAGTTGAACTGAAGCAGGCAGAAGTCGTAAAACTGCTTCAAGTCTTTCAGTTGTGTGTTCTTGGCCATTTCTTACTCCCTTCTTCTGAATCTCACCAGATTTTCTGCTCTGAGTGTTTGCATTGCATAAAATCTGCCTCTTGCTCTTGCTGGTCACAGAGAGCTGGGTTTATGCTGTGTGTTTGTGCTTATCTAGGCTCTGACTGCTAGTGCATCCTCTCCAGTTCCAACTGGTGCCCTTCCTGCCGCATCCCATTGGTTTCACCACTTCCATGGTCCTCATTGTGCTGGTGCTGTTACCTGTGCTTTGCTGTCTCCTTCCAGTACCTTCCTTTTTTGAGCAACAGCTTTTCCTCCTTTGGTTTTGGCCTCCTTTACTCCACCTTCTGTACCAGTGAACACAGTCTGAGCAGGGTCTGTCGCTGGTCTATCCATGCACTCCTTGCATGACCCTCATCTTCACTTTGCTCAGCCATGTAGAAGTGATCCTTGCTCTTCTGTATTTATGGGAACCTGTATATAAGCATCTCTTTTGCAGGTTCTTTTTCTTGACAGTATTCCAAAATTAAATCCTATTCGTATGGTGACCATACCAGATCCCTGTATGCATTCCAGTTTGCATACAGCAACTTCAGCTGTGCAGTTTAGACTTGTCAAGTTGCTGTTGTTGGGTAATGGAACTGAAATTTGATTGTGAATTTTTATTTTTATTTTGGCGACTGCTTGCCATTTCTGTGCTATCCACCACATGCCATGCAATTCACACATGCTGTCTTTTGGAACAAAGTGCTAAGTAGTGGGAAAATCACCAGATTACAGGTTTTATTGTGATCCAGCATGCTGTGATGAAGATAGATACACTTTTGTTAGCAACAGTTCCTGGGATGTGTGTGTCTTGGAATAGATTAATTATTAAAGATGCCAACTTGATCTCCTGAAGTTTTGTAAGCTGTGCTTATTTCTGTGATGCATCATCTTTTTTTCATACTGAATTTAGCTGCCTTTGGTGGTTTTTTTTTCTTTCCTTGCTCAAACATTCTGTGATTTAGCATGAGTCATTCTGTCTGTGTGGGAAAGGGTTGGTTTATTACCGGGTCCGTTCTTGAGTGGGGAGGGGAAAGGGTGGAATGTATTTGTGTTTTCTATGTGTTTGTTGTGGAAATGCATAAAACTTTTTTTTCTTCTTCTCTTCTTTCCTCTCTTCATCATCTCATCTGTGTGGGTGAATGTTCCTGCAAACCCTTGGGGAACCTATAGAGACGTTTGGTATGCTCATTCCTTCATTAGTGCCCAAAGTCACAGATGCTAGGTACAGTTTAAAGACTAGAAAAGCAAACCAGAGCCACATTGTCACAATGCAAGGTGGCTAAAAATGTGCACTTGAGGAAAACTTCTAAGTCGTCATCTAATATACCTATTTGTTTGCATCATCACAATAATACCAACAGCCACTGCTAACTAGTTGGCATAAATTTTGATTCTGCACTTGAAAAGTAGAAATGAAATACTTTCTCCTGTATCAGGAGCTACTGATTTGTGATTGAGCTATAATTTTCAAAAGTATCTATCTTGTTTATAATTCCAAGTCCTATTTTGATAAACGAGTGAAGTGTGTGCACTTAAGTTGCCCGAGTTCTGTTTGCTCTCTTGCTGCATTGTGTAGAGGTGCAGGAGCCCAAGTGACCTCTGAAAGTGGGAACCAGGCACAATTTGACCCACTCTCTTTGTTAGAAAGAAACTGTAATTCTAATAAAACATCACAAAACATGAACTTGTTATTAAAAGACAGAAGTCTTAAGATGAGTGAGTACCATTGGGTAGCTTTATTTTGAAAACACATGTTCTAAGAAAAGAGAGACAAAGTGAAGTGGAAGTTTTGTTGCAGGAGAGCTTGTGGCTTAGTGATATTCTAGAAAAGAGAGATTTTTCTCACACATCCACAACTTGAATATTTCCAGCTGGTTCACATTAATTTCATGAACTGCATTCTTTACTCCGTAAGTAGAACAGAGACAAAAATGGCTGTAAATGTCATTCTGTATTTTTATAAATACTGAATGGTCATATTTCAGTGCAAAATACATGGAAACTTAAAATATTTATTTATATGAGCAGGGGAGATGGCATGAGGGATATTTAAGACATGTACTGCAATAACATGAAGAAAATGAGTCCAACTACGTCATGTTTTGGTTGTGCTATATAGTGCTAAAGTTAATGTTCACTTCTAAGCTACAGCCACTTGAGTTGGAAGGCTCAGCTTTTTCATAATCTTAGTGATGTTATGGTTTTTCTTGTCATTGAGAGAAAATAATATTCAAGCTACTTTGACATAAATTGTGTTTGAAAAACTCTATCAGTAGTCATCACTTGGTCAAGTCATCTCTGTTCTCCTTATGGAAGGAGGATTATCAAACATGAATTTGGACATTGCTAGTTTCCCTTTTTTGTGTTGAGAAATTATTTCATGCCACAGGAAATCCTGTCCTTTTCTCAAACTAGGATCATTAAAAGTCATTACATTAATAAACTCTATAATTTAAAGACAATGAAAATATTTTCCACACACAGGATAAATATGTCAACATTTTTCACTGATTAGCCACTAAAATATTTTAACTCTCAGTAAGTTTTAATACCAATTTAAAATAGCTCCTTTGATACAAACTATGGTTTTATTGCTCTATTTAACCATAAGTTTAGGATACCAGCTATGTTCCCCTTCTTTGATATTGCTTGTTTCTCTTAAAATAAAATTGCTGAGTGGATATCATGCTTTAAACACTTTTCCCGTGCTGAGGTCTGCCAGAACTTTTGACCACTTTTCTGAAATTCCCACTATATTTGCTGCTCCATCAGAGCCAGTGAGGGTGGGAGCCATAAACCTCCCTTGAGCGCTTTGTGGTAATTAAGACCCGTAGCACACCAAAGAGAGGTTAAAAAAGGAAAAAAAAAAAAAAAGAGTAATTCATGATCAGCCTTCTCCAGAGCTGCTGTTGGTCTGCTGCTGGAACTGTACCGGTAAAATAAGAGAATCTTTGAAACGTTTTCTGTGTCAACATTAGTATTTGCTGAAAAGGAGAAGGAAGTTCTGACTCATCAAATGGTTGTTTACAACCTGTTATAAACCTAATTTTTTTTGACCCTCAGAAGGCAAATTACAGTTGCTAAAACATACATTTCTAGATATTGACCAGAATAATCTTGGCACTTTGCTGTGTATTTTTAGCAATTGCTTGTGGCAGAATGTCACAGTACAGAAAATCCACTGTTATTAATGTTGTATTATGTGACATGATTCAGAGAACACAAAACCAGTATGATATTTTTTCTTGATTCTGTGACTCTTTCAGAACCACAGCAATATCTGAAAGACCTCCCGTTTATGACACTGCATGAAGTAATCTGCATTGATCTGGCTGAGCACTGATACTCAAAAAAGAGAACAGCTGAGAGATGATCTGAACAAAATATGTTGGTGCACATTTTAAACAGTCATCCAGAATTTTGCCATTATACATTCCTTCAATTTCAGTGGAAAATCAATATTAAAACTACATACTCTCTGACTGTGGGCATGCCTAATGTGCAGTGTCGTTGTAGCTCTGTGCTTTGTCTTTGCTTGCAGTAATGCTGTCCATTTGGTACTTGAGCTTGCAAACAGCCTTTAAATGAAGGTGATGAGGGGAAAAAGCAATGAGATTGACATTATACTCAAGCAGCTGAAAGAAAATGCAACATTTATTTAAAAAAAAGCAGATAAAAAAGTCAATCTTCGTGGAATGTCTATCTATAAATGTCAGGTATTTGGTTTTTTCCCAGCTGAATTAAGAATGTCTAACATCACCTTAAAGCCTGCTTGCCTATAGAGTATTTTGAATTATTAGAGCTGGTAAAGTTTAAGTAATTTGTGTAGAATGATGTAGTTACTCCAGAAAGCTTAGAGATCACCTAGAAATGCGGTAGAAGTTCTAGAGGCATTGGTGCTTGCTTTCATACATGGTGAAAATAGCTTATTATCAGTTGAAGAAAGAAAGAAGTTGATAATGAAGCTTACATATTTTAACAAAGCATCTCCATTGCATCCACGATGAATTATATTAATTAAAATGTACTTTTTTTGTGTGTGTTTTCAGTGAAAGAGTTCCTAGCCAAAGCCAAAGAAGACTTTTTAAGAAAATGGGAAAGCCCCCCTCAGGTATCACTCATTTACACATTCAATGCTTTCCTCTATTGCATGTTTTTAATGATGTTATTAGTGTGGTATCAGTCTGTAATCAGCAGTGCAGAAAATAATTTGAATACAATTTGTAAAGGAGTTCGCAGTTGTAATGTCAGCTTAGTCAGTGAAGTTCATCAGCAAAGACTCTTGGATCTTGTCCAGATCCGAGCTGATGAAATGGTCATACTGAACAACAGGTTTCTCATTTGAGAATGGTGTTCACAATCAACATGATAAGACTCAAATTCATGACCTCTTAACTGCTAGATGTTTCTTACCAGTCATGTATCACCTGTATGGACAAATGACAGAAATATTGATATAATTCTGTTAAGTCTTTTTCTGTTTTAATGACTGCAGTATAAATTTTCTTAACAAATTTTGAGAGGCATGAAATTATAACAGTGTAGTTGGCTATAGTTGTCTTTGATAAATGTAGTTTTACTCAATCTTTTTTCCTAAATTAATTTGATTCATACAGTTAAAATTGTCTTTGGGTATTAGATTGTAAATAATGTCATTATATCCTTGTGCATGTAGAATACTGCTGGCCTAGATGATTTTGAGAGGCAAAAAACCCTTGGAACAGGATCATTTGGGAGAGTAATGATGGTGAAACATAAATCCACAGAACAGTATTATGCTATGAAGATACTGGACAAACAGAAGGTTGGTGTAATTTATTGTGGGGTTTGTGGTACAAAGAAGAGTTTGATGTAGGTGGAGATCCAGTAGCTGTGGCCGAACCACGTTGCATGTACTGAGCTGCTTCTTGTCACACTTGGATGCTGGTGATACTTTAAATGCTTGACTTTCTCTTCTAGGCAGTAGATTCAGTTGTTGGTACTGTGTAGAGTTCATACAGTGGCCAATAACGTTAACAGCAGCCTAAAGAGGCTCTAAGTAGTGTCCAAGGCATTAATAAAATGTTGTCTGGTACATTGTTTGCTTCACTTGTGTAAGGTGACCTATATTCTTCAGCAAAAGCAAAATGTAGTGCTGTTGTTTAAATACATAAGTAAGTTTGCTTTTGCAGGGTAGCTAAAAATTCTGGAAGACTCTTTGGATCACAAGTTCTCAAAATTTTCATTTGTGAACCATAACTTAAATTAAAATCGTTTACGTAAATAATTTCTTTTCCATTCTTGATCCCATGAATGATTACTTTTTTATGCTCTTTTCTGTGAGCTCTTCCTGCTTCATGAGACACTCTACATAACTTTGCTGTTGTACAACAAAAATCAGATTAAGAAAATATTTGTCTGGCAAAGGAATCTTCATAACCAGCAGCTAAGAAAATCAGTCAGCATTGCCTCAATGTGGACTCTTGCACTTAGGCATTATTACATTTCTGAGTAATTTTATGTAATGAACTATGGCAGTGGCATGATCAAACTGTTTTGCCTGAGTTGCAGTTCCAGTATTCTTTGCATGTGATCTGGAGTCCTGGACCTTGAATAATGGGTCATTTAATCAAAGACTTCTCTATAATGGTCAGACAAGGAGAAACTAAAGTAAACTTACCTTTTAGTGTCAAATCTGACATATTATTTTTACTTGGAAATGCTCAGTTATTTGCAACTAAAGCATTCTCCTATGCTTTTATTTAAAAATAAACATACAAACAAAAAATTAAAATGGCATTCCAACATAGTACAACTGAAAGAGAGCCCAGACCATTTCCATCTGTGTGGAAATGTACCTCACCATTACCTCAGTGTGGCTGGTGGCATCCTGTGGGGAGAGCCCCTGTAGAATGCCACTGCTGCACAGAGAGCCCATCGCCAAATTTCAGATCTTCAACTTTTTTTTTTTCCTTTGAACCCTTTTTCATGAATGTCTGAGTTGTCACTAGAGCAGTTTAGGAAATTACATCTTACTTCAGAAAGCTGCCGTAAAAATACTCTAAGAATTTTATTAAAAAGTTAATTAAATTCATTACTACCTCTCAGTCTAAAGTAAATTGGAAAGCTGAGTTATAAACTTACCTGGCAAAAGCAAAAAGTCATATTTTTAACAGTTGCAGTGGACTTGCAGTAACTGAGTCACAGGTTTAAAGATGTTTCCATGCCAGCATCAGTCCTTGAGATGGTTTTGTCTATAATCACAAGTCTTGATATGTTCCTTTATGAAGTACATACTTTGCAACTCAATTTAGCATATATAATTACAGATTTATGTATTCTATCCGAAATATATTAGTTGTTTCCATTAAGGGATAACAAAAGATAGGAAATTGTTGAGGGAGAAGACATTTCCATCACTTTGTTTAGTATATAAAGCATACAGATACCTGAAATTAGACAATGGGCAGGCTGCCTATAATTTTTCATTTCCATTTTACTTGAAATCAGAGAGCATATGGTGTATGTGTTTGTTATCCAGTCTTACCAGGATATGAAAAAAAAGGTACTAGATGTGAGTGTAGCCAGTAATTTTGTGTGTAGGGATGTTATTCCTGTGTCTGCCCTGAGGTAGGAAGGCTGTAACATACCATTGCTTGGCGAGTCTCATTATGGAGTTGTTTTTGGAAGGAAAATACTGTGAACAAGAGCTTGGACACAAAGAAGCTGTTGGAGAATCTGCCATTACCAGATATCATTTAGTGCATAGGAAGTGTCATTGGACGTGCTCTGAGCCTGACCTTAAGTGTGAGCAAGGCTGTGTTGTCTGAGGCCCCAGTTTGATATTATGAGATGTTGAACAGCAGCTTCAGCCTGTGGCAGTGCTGCCATCCCCCTCCAGTACTGAGCGGGTCGAAGATGCAGGAAGGAGGTAAAGTCTTGTCTAGCATTGCAGATGAACCTCACAGACTAAAGCCTTAGCTTTTTTTGCTTTGATGGACAAGATCATTCCAGTATCAAAGCTTTTTACGGGTGAAGGAGGCACTTCCCACATATGAGCTGATTTGAGAAAATTTTTTATTTGGTCCCTAAAGATCTGTGATTCAAAAGAAGTTTAGTATTTTTAAGTCACTGCTTCTTTTGTGTGACATTTATTTCAAAACAGTAGTGCGTTTTTTCTAGGTACTACCTTTTGCATTAAGTACAGTTCCAGTCAGGGTTGGAATATCTTGTTTATCTGTTATTTATAGCAGTTAGATTTGATTTCCAAACATAAAACCAGGCTTGTTTTGATCACTCTTGTACATTTTTTTGCTTGTTTCCTATGGAGAGAAAAAAAAAGTAACTTGGAAATCATGCCATTCTCAAAACCAAGGTATTGATAGATCGTGCAACAAGGATTAAGTCAGAGGGAAGTAATTGATTATGCAATGCTGGGGCTTAACACAATTATTAATTACTGAGAAAGAGCAATGATGAGAAATCTGCTACTTGCTGCCTTGTTAGCAGCTTAACATTGTAAACAATAATTGCTTCTTGGAATCCATTCTAAAAATGGAGATTTTGAACTTGTATTCTCCTTAGTCTTCTCACTAATGTGTGAGATATATAAAATAAGTCTGTTTACTCCTCTATGCAGATAACAAAATTCATAATTAAATGTGTCTGATGGTTACCTGCCTTTCTGAGCAAAGGATCCAAAGATCCAGTGGGTTTTATTGAACTGCTGCAGAAATATCTCTGTTACAAACATTAGCAATTCTTAAGAAAATGCAGAGATGTTTCACTCACTGACTCCTATATCCAGCAAGTAGGGAGAAACACTATTTGTAGAGTTACCTGCCAAATGTATTGCACAAGTGTTACTTTTGGAAGTATTGTTAGACTTTTTAATCCTTACTTGGCACTGTTATTGTACTCAGAATCCATAAGGTTTTTCATCACCTGTAAAGTTAAAAGCTTGCTTTCAACTAATTGTATAACGCTGAAAAAATTAGCAATGACTATAAAATTTAAACTGAAGATTGTTTTTTCTCTCCTAGGTCGTCAAACTGAAGCAGATAGAACACACACTGAATGAGAAGAGAATATTACAAGCGGTGAACTTTCCTTTCCTTGTTAAACTGGAGTATTCTTTTAAGGTAATCATTATTTTGAAGTAGTTCTTGGGTTTCAGGGAAGTGCCTGCTTAAACTTTAGGTATTTAAACACACAACTTTTACATACAATAGTTCAAGTACTGTTATTTTTAAAGATGCTTCACTTGGCACTGTTTCCAAGGCTTGAGCAGGAGTTCCTGTACTCGTGTACACACTTGTACACACCCCAGTTCACCAGGTGATGATTAAAAGCATATCTATAAATAAACAAATGAAATATAAATTAAACACTTAGAGCTTTCTCTTGTTTTGGAGTGCAGCTGGCTTTTGTACAGCAGGGAGGTTTTAGACATCATTTTATCTTCAAGAGAACCCAAAGCATGTCTTCTGTACCAGTATCTGGAATGGTGAATTTGTAATTGTCCTGCAGATGTTTTGCTTGACATTTGTACCTGAGGCAGGTAGTAATGACAGTTTTAACCATGAAGGAAAGAACTTTGAGGTTAGCTTCTAATTTCATGACAATATGTGCTAGTTAGTCTGTAAAAAAATTGAGTAGCTTTCTAATTTAGAGAGTGGTATGTGCCCTCCTGGGTTTTTTTAAATAACATTTGAAATGAACATTCATGTTCTACCTTAATCTTCAAAGTGTTGCAGTTTGGAGCAGGGACTTTGGGAGGCAAGTTCTTCAGGCTGTCAGTTCTAGATGTTTAAGAGTACCAGGTCTTGCCTTGTAATAGGCATCTGACCCTCTTTTCCTTTGTGTCATCTACACAACATTCTGTGTCAGGAACTCACTAATTATCTTTATACAGATTTACTTTAAAACAGATTTCTTGAGATAGATGATGCTTCTTTTGCAGTTTTTCAAGAATTTCTACCTGTGTTGCTTTACATTTGTCAAGGTCATTGGATGGCTACAATTTTTGTTTCTCTGTCTTTAGTAAAATGTACTCTATGTAGGAGCTACAGAGACTGCAGTATGCCTAACGTCTGTGTGTTTACTTGTTTGCTTAGGACAATTCTAATTTATACATGGTAATGGAGTATGTTCCTGGTGGTGAAATGTTTTCACATCTAAGAAGAATCGGAAGGTTCAGGTAAGAGTAGTAATCACATTTTTCCTTAAAAGAGGCTTATGTTGCTAATTTGGGAGGATGGTTTTATATAATTTGTTAGCATTGAACTAAAAATTCTGGAGGGTTAAGTGCATTTAATTTACATTTTTTTCAGTGGACTTAAGCTAGTCAGGCAGTGAAGAATTTGTAATTATTTCTTACTTTTCAGTTAATTAATACAGGCATTTGTGACCTGTAGGCCTGATAGAATCTAGGCCTGATAGAATCTTGGAATTCCTATGCATGTTGTCACCCAAATTGATGATGGTTTCTAAAAACAAAATTTAAAGTCTAAGCTCTGCACTGTGGGATATGTTCATCTTGATTTGCATGTGTATTTTAGCTGCAAGATTTAGGGAATGTGTGTATCAATTCTAAAATGTTTGCTCTTTGCTTTTGCTTTTTCCTGTTACACAGTAAAAGAACTAGTTAAAAGATACTTAGTTTGTGTATCCCTGGCAGTTACATGGTTGTTTCAGTACCTTAGCATAGTTTTGGGGTACTTAATATTTTCTTTTAATTCTTCACAGTGAACCACATGCACGGTTTTATGCAGCTCAGATAGTGCTAACATTTGAGTACCTCCATTCATTAGACCTCATCTACAGAGATCTAAAGCCTGAAAATCTTTTAATTGATCAGCAAGGATACATCCAGGTATGATATTCTTCATATATTTAGGGAGTGGAGTCTTGTCTTACAGTGTAGGTTTAGGTAAGTCTAACAAATGTGTTTAGAATAAATGGTGTGAAGCTGTTTGGCATGTTAGCATGTTTTTGGGGAGAATTCAAATGCCCTACTGCTTTGTAATGGTTAAAACCATTGGGTTGTACTTCCTCTGACTAAAATTAAGAATGCACAGTGTAGCTGTCTGCAGTTGAGCCAGTTGTCAGGATTCCCCTTGGGATCTGTGGTGAGAAGTAGGTGATTACATGGCTCTGTTCATCTGACCTATTTTATACATCTGCCCTAGAACGAGATGAAAGCTGCCCTAAAATGTCTGTTTCTCTGCATTGTCTATATTAGTAGTTTAGGAAAACCAGCTTAGATGTTATCACTGACACTACAGTGCTAAATGCCCTTCAGATGAATCCCACCCTAGGAGAGTCCTAGCCTTCTCAGCACTTCTGGGGCAAGAGCTGAGCTGAGGTCAGATCAGAACTGCAGTGCTGCAAATGATGATCTCAGTTTTACAACAGCCTCTCACAGCACCTTCTCATCTTCAATTTAGCTCTTATGCTTTAATCTAAGCAGCAAATGGGAAGGCAGTGTGCAGCAACAAGCACTCTGCAATGCTCCGCAGTCCTTAAACTATGGAAGTTCTTTCCTCGTGTCACCTTTTGCCATAGCAGAATCTAACAAGAAAATACATAAAAATGTTGGAGGGAAGTGGAAAGGATTTATATCTTATGTTGTTTATAACTGTAAAATAATTTTGCATGGAAATTTAATTAACACTGTAGGGAGAAGATGAATACAAGTTCCTTTAATGTAGCTGGAGAGCACCATTAATGTAAAGCTGTGACTGGCTTACCCCAGAATTGGCAGCTCTAGATGCAACAGTGTTTTTTGTGATGGTGGGCAGAGGGAGGTTTGTGTTCATATGTTGATACTGCAGCTTCAGCTTCATTTTATTTTTGTATTTTAAAGCTATTACTGTTTGACCTGTATCTGCAGTGTATTTTTGTTACATAGCCTGATGTGCATTCCCAAACACAGAGAAGATTCTTTGCTGACTGAAGCAGCTCTAGACAGCACATCTTCACTCAGTTCCAGCTGTGATGCTGTTGTTTCTATCGAAAATGGAACAAAAGCTGCCTTGATAGTTTGGAGTTTGGCTTCTTTAGCTGTGACAGTAGTGTAAAGAAACATCAGCACAGGTTATTGTATAGTTAGCAATGATTCTGATTGTGGTACAGTATGTTTTCTCAGGGAATGGGTTGAAATTAATACCAAGGAGGAAACAAGCATAGACTTGATAGCATGAAACTAATCCTAGAATTTCACCTGTAACTACCTGGCTTCCATATGTATTCCACAATATGGACCAGGAAAAATCACAGAGTATGATATTGCATCCAGAGTTCTGAAAACTTGCTGCAGGAAACATGGGAAGTGAAATGAAGAGCTTATAATGGCCAAGTACTTGCCATTTTACGCATACAGTTACTGCAACATTTCCCCCCCAAGCCTCAAATAAACAAACTTGACTCTGGTGATGCTTGCAAAGATACTCAGAAGTTACTGGAAGACCTCTTTTATGTTGTCTTATTCCCACACTAATTTTACATATAACCTTTATACACTTATGCAATAAAATTCTAAGTTTACAAGACTGACAGATATCTTGACCCTTTTTGTGGTTCAGTAATTTGTTAACTAAAGGAAAAGATAAATATCTTGTTCGTGTTCTTTAAACTTTCAGCAGTACAAAGTCTGATGTGAAAAGTTTAAGAAAAATGATGAAGGTAATTGCAGTATATGTG